GCGGAACGTTCCAGTGGTCAGCGCTAAGAGCGGCGATTAAAACTTCCGACCATGCTCCACGATGCTCCCGCTTTACGACTGCAGGTCATCTTGACTGACCCGATCGGTCACCAAAAATGAGCAGAGGTGAATATCGTAAATTGAGAAACTGTTCTTTACCTAAGATGTTCTGGAACTGGTAGATGCTTTGAAGGTTTGCACAAATTTTAAAAATTTCACCGGTTCTTCTCCATGCCGGTTTTGTGTCCCGCGAAGCATGTGTTGCGACTGCAAGCGAAGGTAGTATGGTTTTGAAGTTGTCATTAGAGACGAACCAGCTCTGTCGCGACCATTCGACTTGTCCCCTGTAAATTCTAGTTAGGACATTTTGAACCCGCCTTTAAGCGATGTCAACAACACTTCTGGCGCACCAGGCCTCATTTAGTATATTACCACTATAAGGTTGAAGAATATAAAGAAGAATAATAGGTACAAGAGGTCAAATCGAAAGTACAGAAGAACGGCTTCAAGAAAATGGAGGGAAACATGTAGAAGTCAAAAAGTTTTAGATAAAGTAAATGAACGAGAGGAAGAGCAGGGGGTAGGAGAAGAATAATGGAAAGCAATCGGAATAGCATGAGGAAGGTAATAAAAGATAATAAGCGACTTAGAGGACTAAGATGAAGAATTAGAAGAAATCGATAATGAAGAAAAACAGGAGAGGAAGAAAACATGGAGGAAGACGAAGGCCAGATGAAAGAAAAGAGGAAGGGTTCGTTCTGCGTTAGTGAGAATTCGGAAAACAGCATAAAACACGGTTTAATTATATACAAAGCAATACCATCAATGCCATCAATTGAACAATTTAAGACGTTTCAGCCCCTTTCTGATGGTACCCTCATTATAGAGAGGTGGACTGGTTTCAGAAGTTCTTACTGTCGTTCTTTCGCAGCTGTTCTAGCATTTGAAAAAGTAGAAATATTCATACTGTTTAGTCATCTGATTGACCATATTGGTTGCGTTATGTACAAATAAACCGTATTTTGTGCTACTTGTAAAGTCTTAGATTTATTTGCATACCTTATCGTTGGTTGACGGAAGGTGGATACATCTTCTAATTCAGTGGTTGGTTACGCTATGCTAAACGATACCGTACCGCGCCGTAATTTGCTTGTATGGTTCCCTGCCTTTTTGGATCCTGATTTTCTGTTCTGCTCTATGACTGCGTCGGTCGTAAACATTCTTTTATTTTTTTGTACCTTTTCTGCCAGATATGTTTTAACAAGACTGTCAAAAGTATGTCCTCTTCTAGTAGTTGCCATCTGCCGGACGTTTGCCTTAATTGACAATGTGCCTTCCGCTTCCGGATGTTCTTCTAATATTCGTGTTTTGCTGTTGTCTCTATTTTATGGAGTACAGCTACGTCAATCGTCAATCAGGGGGTCATCTGTCGCATGGAGGTCAAGATGCACTGCATTCATGTAAAGCGTTGAAGCGTTGAATAAGCGAATACCTGGACGTCGTTTCGCTCGACTATGACAGAAGTCCTTGACCTGTTGCGAATTTCTCGGTTGGTCGACTTGAGCATGACGTTGACAATTTCTTGAGCATGCATTGTGCACAAAAAGTTCGCCGTCTTCGTATTTTCAATGCTCGAAGCTTTTACTCTCATCATAGGAGCGAGTGAATTAATCTCTTTCCTAACGTCCTCGCTTTGCACATGACAAAAACGTCGCAGTTCGGTTTGTCATGCAACCAGTTATCGCTTGTGTCTGTACATCGATTGTGGCACACAAAAGTTATCGACGAGTTGCTGATGCCTGTTTTCGACAGTTTTGTTAGGCATTTATATTAAAATGTTCTACGATGTAAGAAGAATGTCTTAGAGACCCCGTTACCACCACCACCATCACTACCACAGCATTTCGTACTTGTTTGTAGCTGCAGGGTTTGGAGTTATTTTTTTATAAAGCGCAAATTCAAATTTAAAATCAGCCTGACTTGACTTACACCAATACTATCATGGAAAATGACTTACTAAAGTCATTACGCTGGTCATGCAGCAAGTTCGCGCCCTTCTCGTGCAGCTGAACGCTCAAGGACATTTGAGCTCGATATTTGTGAACCTGAGGTGTGCTAATGCGCAACAACATCGTTTGGTTCGAATAACACAAGTTTCTGATTCCACTGGCGGGGCGAGGGAGAGGTTCTGGTTCGGGCAACATACATGCAGGTGGGGCGAATAGTCGCAAGAAAGACGAGCTGAAACATGGTCCCATGTACTTGGAAAAAAAGTCCTAAATAATACTTCAGGCTTTTGGTTCTTGAACCACATATCATTCAAGCACATATTTAAGTCTCCATAGAATATCCTGTTTTATTCTTGTTTCGCATAAATAATTGTCATATGTTAAATTATTGGGGCGCATGTAATCGTTAATTTTTCAGTCAAGTCACGAAACTAAGCAGTGTACTTCATTTTATAAAACACTCTCTTAGACTCCTCCCTTATGAAATAAATGAAAATTAGGAACATGAATAAATGTAAGAGTCCGCCGTATTTACGACGCTGATACACATGTGCCTAAAAAGAGAGAAGTTATTCGAGCAGTTGTTGATTGCCGTTCTTCTGAAAACTATCAGAAAATTCATACCGAGGCTCTTGACTTAGCTGGATGAAAAGAAGCTCAATAAAAAAGCATTTTTTCGTATACGTTACCAGATATTCTTTTGACAAACTACACAAATGTTGCAAACGTTTCTTGGAGACCGACTTTGGCCTTTGCCACAGCAGCAAACATTTTCTGACGCAGTTGTGTACTGTTTAAATATGCCTGTCGTCTTGTATATCTCGACAACCTAGTAGCAGAGCAGAATTAGTGTGCTGCTTCCGTCGAACAGAGATAAGTTTATACCACAGTCGCATCCTCCATGGGTACCATCAAGGTGTATTTTGTTCCAGCGGAAACTGTGATCCTGCAGATGCCCAAATACCATGGAGCCTTCACCTGCTCAAATGACTCCAGATGACTTCTGGAAGCAAGGCGAGGATGCC